CTGAAGTGAGAGCAAAGATAAAGCCACCTGACGTCTGGGGAAAGAATGAGAAGTTGTTTATCACAGAAATAATAACCACCCAGATCAGACTGGTAAAACAAGCTCAGCATGAGAGAGAAGAAAGAAAACACAAGAGCTCTTATAAAAGAAATAACCTTTAATACCAAAGTGAACTTGAGACAAAAACCAAAGATTTCACTGTAAACACTGCAGCCTTGGAGGAACTATAGATTTTACCTAATTATAGAGTAATCATCTTCCCGAGCATGATATGAAACCCAAAAGGTCAGACTGACAAACTTAACGATATAAACTTAAAACTGCCAGACAGACCAAGTGAAACAGAACATAAAGTCATGAAACAGACCCAGACACAAAATGAATCTCCTATCTAAAAGCTTATAAAGACATCACCTCAAACCAGGGAGGTAGAGAAGGGCTTTCTAAGGAGAGGCTGGACAAAAGATATCCTTGGATCCTTATGTCATACTAACCCAGAATGAATTCTATATTGATCAAGATAAAAAACATTAAAAACCAGCCATAATAGTAACAGGAAAAAAAAAAAAAAGAAAGAAAGAAGGAACTAGGGCCAGGTGCAATGGCTCACACCTGGAATCCTAGCACTTTGGGAGGCAGAAGGATCACTCTAGCTCAGGAGTTCAAGACCAGCCTGAGCAAGAGTGCGACCTCATCTCTACTAAAAATAGAGAAACTAGCCAGGCGTGGTGGCATGCGCCTGTAGTCCCGGCTACTTGGGAGGCTGAGGCAGGAAGACCACTTGAGCCCAGGAGTTTGAGGTTGCAGGGTGCTAAGATGATGCCACTGCACTCTAGCCATGGCGACAGAGAGACTCTGTCTCAAGAGGGGAGGGGAGGAGAGGAGAAAGAACTGTAAGTAGCACATACACGTATTTTAAAAATTCAATCTCTCTCACACTAAGAGAAATGTAAATTAAAACTACATTCAGAGACCATTTCTTATCCATCAAATTGACAAATGCCCAAAAGTATGAAACATAATTTGCTGGTAAAACTCTGAGGGTATGAGCATGCCCATACCTTGTTGGTAAGAGTGTAAAATAGTATAACCCCATCTGCATTTACCCTGTGACCCAGAAATCCCTTTTATAGGAAACCATCCCTCCTGCACTCACATGAAATATCATCTGTACAAGGTTTTTCACTATGACACTGTTTGTAACAGCAAAAGATCAGACACAACATGGCTATTCTTTAGTAAACCACAATACTTGGACATGATGGAATATCACGTGAGAGTGAAAATGGGCCATTCTCTTTACACAATCTTTCAAGATATGTTAATTAGCCAAGAAGCCAAGGTAGAATAATGTAAAGTAAATAAGATGATATCTTTTGTTTAAAAGGAGAGAGGGGAATAAGGATATTCATATTTGCTTATGTTTGTAATACTGAAATACAAGGATATACAAGAAAGTAAAAAATAGGGTTACTTCAGAATGGAGTGAACAAAAATGGGTGGAAGTGCAATGTCTCAATATCTAACTTCATATTATTTTGATCTTTGAACCCTAAAAATGTATTAGTCAAAAATATTAAATTACAAAATACGACCCACTCACTTATGGCTAGAAAAATTAAAAACCAGTCATACACACGTGCACATAAAACTACCTTTTACAAAAATAAACCATAAACAAAGTCTACTGAAGAAAAATGACAAACTGAAAAAATATCTGAAATATATGTAGCAAAGGTTATTTTCTAAGCCCTTTCTTAAAAAAGAGAAAAACCCAAAAGATAAATGAAAAGAGGCACGAACAAGTAATATGCAGAGAAAGAAATAGAAACAACTAAAAACACAGTGAGAAGATGTCCATATTACTTATAATTAAAGGCAGGCAAACAAGGCCAGGCGCAGTAGCTCACACCTGTACTCCTAACACTCTGGGAGGCTGAGGCAGGAGGATGGCTTGAGCTCAGGTGTTCAAGACCAGCCTGAGCAAGAGCGAGACCCGTCTCTACTAAAAATAGAAAAAATTAGCTGGGTGTGGTGGTGCACGCCTATAGTCCCAGCTACTCAGGAGGCTGAGGCAGGAGATCACTTGAGCCCAGGAGTTTGAGGTTTCAGTGAGCTATGATGACACTACAGCACTCTAGCCCAGACAACAGAGTAAGACCCTGTCTCAAAAAAAAAAAAAAAGCAAACAAAAACAACAGTAAAACACCATTTTCATGTATTGGTCATATAGGAAAGAACAGTCACGCTCATATGCTTTTGGTGAGACTAAACTGGCAAAACTTTCTTGAGGGCAATCTGGCAATATTTATCAAAACCTAAGGCAGCCATAGCCTCCAACTCAGCAATCACTAGCATTTGAGCCAGGGCTATACTTGCACAAGTCCATCATGGCATTTGTTCAAGGATTATCGCTTGCAATACTGTTTTCAAAGACAAAAATAAACAACTCAAATGCACATCAATACTGGCCCTAATAAATAAATTACAGCACAGACACATAATGCAATATTACACAGGCATTAAGAATAAGGTTTACCCTATAAGTGCTAATATGGATGATCACCAGTATGTGTCATGAGGTGAAGAAAGGTACAGAAAAGTAGAGTGGGACCAATGTGTATGATGTGAGAAGGCCTTGAGATGTGGGGAAAAGGAGGAACATTTAGACTTCTTTTTGGATATATTTTCTTTGACGTCTGATATACATTTTTGCTCTATTTGAATTTTACCAATTTTTTTTTTTTTTTTGAGACAGAGTCTCATTCTGGTGCCCAGGCTATAGTGCCATCCCATCAGCCTAGCTCACAGCAACCTCAAACTCCTGGGCTCAAGCAACCCTCCTGCTTCAGCCTCCCGAGTAGCTGGGACTACAGGTGTGTGCCACCATGCCCGGCTAATTTTTCTATTTTTAGTAGAGATGGGGTCTTGCTCTTGCTAAGGCTGGTCTCAAACTCCTGAGCTCAAGTGATCCTCCTGCCTCAGCCTCCCAGAGTGCTAAGATTATAGGCATGAGCCACCACAGCCAGCCAAATTTTACAAATTTTTTAAACCAAGTATTTAAAATATATTGGCAATCACTTGCCAAACATTTACCAAAGAACGTAGATTCTTCTTCATATCTACATTGTTCCCCAATATTTCTATGCAACAATGGGGATGAGGGCAACAAAAACAATTTTAACCAACAATATGAGGCCAGCAGCAGGCCTGCCATGGTGACTCACACCTATAATCCTAGGACTCCGGGAGGCCGAGGTGTGAGGATCGCTAGAGCTCAGGAGTTCAAGACCAGCCTGAGTAAGAGCGAGACCCTGTCTCTACTCAAAATAGAAAATAATTAGCCAGGCGTGGTGGCGTGCACCTGTAGACCCAGCTACCTAGGAGACTGAGGCAGGAGGATCGCTTGAGCCCAGGAGTTGGAGGTTTCAGTGAGTTATCATGATGCCGCCACACCCTAGCCCAGGCAACAAGAAAGACTCTGTCTCAAAAAAATAAATAAAAATAAAATAAAGCCAGCAGCAGCACACTTGCACGTCACCTCAAGCTGTATTTTCAAGCTCACAAGATGAGAGATGTGGGCTGCAAATAAATTGGGTGCACATTTCCACAAGCGTCTCTGTGTTCAGGACTCATAAACAGCACTACCACGCAGCATGGCCTGGGAGACACAATCAGTTCTGGATTCACTACTGACTTCAACCTCAAGCAAATTATTTAGCTGGTTTCTTTGGACTTCAGTTTCCCCATTTATAGAAGAGTATGTGTGTGCACATTCATGTGTGTGAATGGCAGGGTGAGGCTATGAAATGATTCTAAAACTGCATGATTCTACCCTAAAAGTACTGCAACCTTTGCATTGGTGTTTTGAAAAAAAAAAAAAAAAAAAACAAAAAAACAACTCACCAATAATTTGTAAAGTAGCAAACATGATCAAGCTGCTCTTATGTTATCTATCCAGGATCTCAATAAACATATCTCCAATATTAATAATTATGCCACAGTAAAAGCTTAGCTAAATTTCTATAGGCTGAAAAGAAAAACAGTGTCTACTAACATCAAACTGAAAGAACAGAGTTCATGTTGCTAAAAGTAATAAAAACATTTTCAAGATCTCAGTCCTAATTTTTATTTTAAAACAGTATATGGATATAAAATTCACCACAGTCACTTTACTACCGTTTTGCCCGTGTCAACTGCTGATGTTACACTGACTCTAAAGATTTGCAATGGCGCCATGATATCAACACTAACATCCCAAAATATGTTGTGGGCCAACTTTCAGGCAAGTAGGGAAACAAAAGCTTTTGGAGATTCAAAACTTTACAATGTAACAGGGGTTAGGAGCATGAGAGACAGGTGTATAGGATATCACAGCCATTGAAATTATTATCTCCATTAGCTATAACCTGTGAAGTATCTCTTTACATAAGAGAAACTAGTTTTAGACTATTCTTATCTCGTTCAACAAACCCATGGCTGTTCAAAAAGAATTCTATCAGTGCCAAAGAGAAAACATATTATTAGCAATTATCATCTATGGTATATAAGTGCCAGGAAAAGGTAGGCATTGACTTTTATTTTTCTATTTCCATATTTGTCAATAGATTGTCTATGTCTATCCCCTTTTCACTATTCTCTTTGGGCTGAGCTAAGGCTAAAGGAAAAGTAGGCCAAGTATATTTAATATTTTACACCAAACAAGTTATCTGCTTAAGATGGCTTGGCCAGCCTTGTGTCTGGCACTAACACCCAGCCTGACAGTTCCAGTAGGAATTAAACACCAGTTTTAATGGGTGCTGTGTTCCAATGCCTACTAATGCATTGAGGATTACTGGCCAACTTCTTCACATAAAGGCAAAAGTGAGTATGTGTGTGAACATGTGTGTGTGCCCACATGTACGTATGGAGGGATTACAGGGGGGAGCCAGCCACAGCTGCTTAATTTTTGTAAAGCTTTTTTTTTTTCCTTAATAGGGAGGAGGGTTGTGGTTACTTACCATCCTCATAAGCCGCTACCGCCAGTGAGCTGTTTATCCTCACAAAGGAGACATATGGCTGCATTCCAGACTCATCCTCCTCATACTCTGATTCCAGAAAGGGGGCTACGTAGTCCCAGGTGCGGGTGTCCCACACTCTCACGTCCCCTGATGTATATCTGGAAAAGAAGGACACACTTGGTTCCAGAAGGGGACTGAAGAACAGGGCCGTGGTGGGGGAAATGTGGAGGGCCTTAAAAAACAACAGGGGAATAAGATTTGGTCGGTGTGGAACCACTCCTGCGGCACTGTTTAGACGAGTAATTCCAACAGGAGAAAATGTCAACTAGATGACAGAAGGCTGTGAATGCGTTTCACATTCTCACAGCACAATGGTGACAATTTGAAATGAGAAAATGATAATAAGAAGTGGGTATCCAGATCTCCTTGCTTTTCCTTTTACACTATTATAACCAATCTGCTACTGTAAGTTCTCCCACTAAAGGGATCACTAGCAGAAATTTGTATAAGCAACACTATTTACCCACCAACACACACACACACACACACACACACACACACACACACGAAAGACAGAGATGCTGCAGAGATACTAAGAACTAACGTCTTACAGGCACAGGCTTTCTAATACCTCATCCATGCATCAGATTTGACTGATTAAAGTCCCTGAAGACTCATTGATTTGCAGAAACAATTAAATCTTGCCTTTAGCAGCCAGACAGTGCTGCCTTCTCACGAAAAGCTCTTGCCGAATGCATGACACTCCCTGATTTTGCCTACTTAGAAAACAAGAGCGCTCACTCTCTGCTATCACTACTGCCATTCCAATAAATGACTCTCTCCATCAAAGCCAAGGCAGGGACAGAACCTGCTCAGACACAAGGCCCCCAGGATAATGGAATGGACAGATGATGAGATGGGGTGATGCCTGCCACTGGTATTTAAGTTCAGTTGCTTACATCTGCTAGAGAGAGGTTCATTCCACACGTAAAGCAACTGTGTGTCATAGGGGCGGACGGGAGAAATGCCTCTAAGGCCTCATGCTGTATCCACACAAACGCGAAGATAGGCAGATGATTTTAACGGGTTCACCGTCTTCCTGAGGCCCTAGCCATAGTTCCTTCAGGGTTTCTTTGTAGAGCTGAATGAGATAACCTCTGAGATTCACTGAATCACTGAAATCTATGACATGATACCTTTATGAAATAGCTATAGAAGATCAATCTCAGGTAAGATTTCTTGATAAAGAAACTAAGAATGCTCTGATTCAGGAGTGCTCATTTACTAGTACTCCCCCAGATTATTAATCTACAGTAAATACATATATTACACAATCCAAAGGTCGTCCTGTCACACCAATTCTCCAGGTCAGAGAACTCGGCTCTCTACCTACAGGACAGTACTTGGAGCGTGCACGTGGTATAGAGAGCACAATTGGAGAGACGTGCTTTCTATAACTAGGTGCTGTACCTCTGACCACTGATCCTCTGGTAAACAGCAACGCTCACAGCACAAGGGTCCTTGAGCCTGGCAATGAGCAAGCAAGGGCAGATACTGACATCACTCCGGCCAAAGCACGGCCACTGGTTCCCAGGCTCTCGGGCAGTGGGCCAATCACCCTTCTCCATTGGGAGCCCTATACCAGAACACATATCCCATACCCCACTGCACCCAAAATAGTGGGCTCCACTTGACACCCTGAAAATAACTTGGGCCATTCTCTGCAGTAAGGCCACTTGCTTAGCTACAAAGACAATGAATAGAGCTAACAGCTTGAATTTCTAGATTGTGTGTGATTAGATTCTTAAGGTTAAATTCTATGTGAAAGGAACTAGCTGATTCAGAAAAGATAAGAAGGATGGCAAAATCTTTCAGAAATACAGAGAAGGTAAGTGAGAGAAAGAAAAAGAAAGCAAATTTAGGAGATCAGAGAACTAAAGAACTTTGAGAAAAAGAAGTGCACAAACCAGGAAAATGTATTTACTTCCTGTCAGTCTTGGTCATTCTGTTTTTCAGTAATGTGTATTACACCACATGTTCTTCTCGCTGCTCTCTGTGGCGCCCCCTTAGGGGCCACAGTGGGAGGACAGAGTGTAGAGCAGAGTTTTGATGGCCTGAGCTCCAGCCACTGTAACACAAAGAAAGAGTTCCCAGGCGAAGCAACAGCAAACAGAGCAAAGCTTGAAAGAAGGTGCTTTACCTGCTGGAGCAGACAGAAGTGAACTGAGAAGTACAAACTGTTGGGCCCATCCTTATATGGGGAGGGGGGGAGAAGAGGAGAGAGGGAGGGAAGGGATCCCATGAGAACAGCACTCTATTAACATCTAAAAGGTTCCTGATGAGCCTTTCTTCCATAAAGAAAGATTCCCCGCTCATACTATGCATGCTCCCCTCAACCAGCTTCAGATCACCACCAAGCTATCAATATAATCAATTGTATCATCCACCCCAGGTCCCTGACAGGAAAACAGAGGGGCCCCTTCAACTCTGCCCTTGCCTACCACCCACGCTGCGACCTACGCTCCCGGCTCTTTCTGTTCTCATTCCCAGAGAGGCCGTCCTGGTTCGAAGCCCTCAACACTTCCCCCGACTGTTACAGGCTCCCTGCTTCTCAGCAGCACACACCTTCCAACAACCTGTGCAAGCCAAGCCCTCCAAAATACTTGACCGCATGAATCTGTCTTCTGGAAACACGCCATTTCTCCCTCACCCACCATGAGGTAGGTCACTAGACCATATCCCCTCACTATGATCCACCTTGATGGCAACCTGGACGTTTCCCTCATGTGATATTGTGTGTATGACTATCTTACTGTTCATCTCCCCACCAGCCTATGAGCCTCTGAGGTCAGGGTGTTATTCACAGCTGTACATCTAATGACTAGAACTGTGGTCCCCAACTCCCGGTACCAGTCCCAGGCCTGTTAGGGACCGGGCCACAGAGCTCTGTCACCCGGTCCTTCCTCCTCCATCCATGGAAAAATTGGAACTAGGGGGATACACAGTAGGAGGTGAGCATGCAAAGCTTCATCTGTATTTACAGCCACTTCTCATCACTGTGGAAAAATTGTCTTCCATGAGACCAGTCCCTGATGACAAAAAGGTTGGGGACTGCCAGACTAGAAGGACAATAATCAGATGAAAACAGTGCTTGACACACACCCAGGGAGCCCTCTGTAAGGTCTTCTCTCTTAATGCCTTATTGATAAAGGTTAAATTATGAGGCCTGCTGAAAACACTCCACAGATGAGCTTCCAGCCTTCTCTCCAACTTCACTTTCCCTTCCTTAGCACGAGCCAGTATCCAGACAAGCTTCCAAACACTCTTGCCTCTGAACCCCAGCTCCATCATCCACCTTCCTGGAGTGCGTTCCCTCCTCAGCACCCACCCTGGTGGGGCTCCACCTTGGCTGCACATCTGAACCACCTGGAATGCTTTTTAAACTCCCTATACTCTAGCACATCCCAGACCAATTAAACCTAACTGTCTAGGGTGGGACCAGGCATCAGTGTTTTCGATGTGCAGCCCAGATTGAGAACCACTGACCTGGCAGAAACCTACCAACTGCTCAAGGTCTAGCACGGGCCCTCCCCTCCTCCACAAAGGCTTCCCTGACTCAATTACTATGCCCTTTATTTCAAGAAATGACATGCATTGCTATATTCCATACGTATGACTAAAAAGTCCTCGAGAGGGCTCTGCTGTACCTCCATGACAGCTCCTTGCACACAGATTGACTCTGTATTAAGCACACAAAAATAAATGGTGATTAAAAGGGAATGTCCACAAGTAACAACCTGACTGGTTTAAGGGACACCTCTTTTTATTTCCCCAGCCCACCCTCCTGTGCTAATGATTAGTGAAACACCCAGAATGCATACATCAAGGTGCACTAGACTTCTTGCACTTATTTCCAAACTGATTACGATAATCTCTATAAAACATGGGATAAGCTCAGTTATCTCAGTAAACATGAAATTCTCCATAGATACCTATTTCAATTAACTCTTCAAGGCCAAAGAGCATGATAATAACATAAATGTTTTGCTGCAAAATGACTCAGGAGGTAAAATATAAAAGCCTCTGTCTCCTATATTGATGGAACAGAGACTAAATATCCTATTTCAGTGGGTCCCGAGTCATGACTCAGCAGCAGGCTCCCAAACTGAATACGCTATAATACAGTGAAAGCCACTATAGCATGAGAGTCAGACTTGGCACTAATGAATTTGTGCTAAAGAAAGAGACATTTTCAGGAGAGTAAAACATGGTTGGGGCAGGAGGACTTGGACCAAACCCTAAATGTGATCTAAAAGTGCTTAACCACATTGGCCAGGAGAAGCAAGAACAGATATTGAGTGGAGGTAGGGAAAAGGCTGATTTTTATCCAGAGCTCCAGATGTCTTTATTGCTGCCTAATGACAATTACACTCAACCAATTAAGACGCCACTATGACAGTTGCATTGTCAGTAAGCCTTTGGACCCCAATGTTGATGGCTCTCTAATTAGTGTCTGTGCAAAGTACAACTGCAACTAATATACTAGCTGATGTAAGAACACTAAAGAAAAACTGAAGGAGGAAAAAAGTCTTTTCCAAATGAGTAAGGATGGGCCCCAGCCCATGACACAGGCCGGTGAAACTGTATGCTTTCCCCGTCTTTTCTACGCTTGACAAGGTTGAGTTTACCTCTAAATAAATAGGTCACAGACCACAGTTGATTTTTTTTGTTGAACAAATGAGAATAGAACATCTCTCAAGCTCGGCACACCAGAGCAATTGCCAATTTAAAATGATTTACCACCAAAGAGCTTTCATTAACTAGTAAGTTTCCAATAAGGAGACTACTTATTCAGACTAAGAGACTAGAAGAAACACTGTACTGCTAAAAACAACCTTTAACCTTTCTTCTTCATAAATACCCAGCATGAGTTCCATTCCGCTTTCCCATGCCAGCTCTTATTTGCTAAAAACGAAATTCTTCAAGGCTCTTCATAACAACCTGGGGGATTGTTTTAAGAATGCTCACAAGTAAGGTTAAGTGACTTACCCAAGGTCACAAGATACATTTTAGTGGCACAGCTGGGATCAAAATGTGCCCCCGGTTTTTCTCAATCGCTGCTTAGGCAACAAGCCACTCCGCCTCCTCAGATGACAGT